AATTTAGTGATTTGATGTGAACAACGTGAAAGTGAGGTTTTAGGAAGGCTTTGTACAACATGATGGTGCCTCTGAGAAACAGGGCACAGCACAGAATAAACAGATGAAGCTGATAGAAATAAAAAAGAAAGCTGTGAGGTATGCATCACTGGCAGCATGCAGTATAGGGCTAAGTTCAGTGATGTAGGCCACAGCAGGCTCCATTTTTAATTTTTTGATGCACAAGATTGCAGTGGTACCTTGATACGTGACCTCTGACAAATGCTTAGGTAGGTAACGCAAACAACAGTACTGAAAAGCATATAGATCACCTCTGTGCAGGGATTCTGGCTAAGGGAACAAGAAAATTTTTGAAAGAGACTATTTTTATTTTTTTTTAAAGAATGGCTATCCTTTTATGATCCAGGTGTTAGCAGGAATGTCTGTGTGCAACATATTAGATCTTTAATTTGCTTCTGAAGTGCTTGTATCTTGACTTTTGTGAATGTAGGTCAGTTCCTTCACAACGTGCAACCCATCATGCCCTAGCTCTTGAAAACACCAGTATTCCCTTTCAGCAAAATTTCATTAGGTATATGGGGCAGACATTTTAAAACTTTCCTGTATTTTGATAAAATATCATAATTCTTATAAAACGCAGTAGACAGAGATACACAAATACTAACTAATCTCATTTCAGAGACTCCCATGTGCCAGTTTCAAGAAGGTGGGGGAAAAAATATGTAAATGAACAAACAAATGGCTTTTTAAAAAGCAGTCCATTCTTAGAAGCCTGTGCACTATGCAGCAAAAAATTAACATGATTGGCCCATCATGAAAAGGGCTGCAGAGGTTGATCAGTGATGCACAGTTGCACAGGATTACATTATCTGAGCTAGACATGAAAAATGACCTAGTGACATTAACAGGAGTTTACAAAGAGGGGAGAAGAAAATCTGAATTTTGTGGGGCTGGGGGTGATGGAGGATGAGACAGGAGAGGGGCTAATCATTAAGAACTGTCTTTCCTTCAAATAGCCGAGGAACTCTCCATCTAGTCTCTATTTCAAGAACAGCCTTTTGGCCAATTTCATTACAGGGTATCAGCTTTGCTTCATGCCATCATATTTGTGGTAAGACATCCCTTCGCCCCCTCCCTACAGCTCCATACTTGAAAAGCTTACTACAGAAATCATGCTTCAAACAATCACATTTGAGCACATCACCACACGCTGCTTTTTCTCAAGTTAAACCGTGGGTCTGACTGTGTGACCTGCTGATGTAAATAAAGAGTAAGTGGAGTCCAGACTATGGTCAGTCCAGCTAGCCAGGATTTAAACAATGCATACACCGAGATGCTTACACGGCTTGCACAGACAAAAGTTTATATGCAAATGAGATACAGAATCTGATACGTTAAGGTTTCTACCATTTTTACTTATTGTTGTAATTAACGCTGCTGTAAAAAAATGTCTTGATGACAAACAGATAGAGCTAGGAATCTGCAAGTCTTGAATCCACTGCCATAATTTTTTTAAAAGTAAATTTTTAAATGTGAAGCACTGAAATACGTTGAAGCTCCCCCTTAGCAATAAATCACCAAAACCAGACAGTAACCTCTCTATGTTACAATTATTCTCTTGCTCTTTCTCAAAAAAAACAGAAGTAAAAATCTGTCAGGTGTTCTTCTTTATCATGAGCCTGTACAAACAAAATAAAAAAGAAAAAAAAATGGAAAAAAAGCATTCTGGTGACTGCATAATATTCAGAGAGGCAATTTTGCACATGTGTGGATTTTTATAGAAATCCATTACCTTCTTAGAAATTTGTGGGGGGGGAGAGGAGGGAAGAAAGAGAAATTCACCATTATCTTTATCTTTCTCCAGAATAAGTCATTTGATAAATTCCTCCTAATCAAATCTCTTTCAGATACCACCTTATAAACAGTTGTGAAATATTAGAGAAATTGGAATTTTCTGACAAGGTACCAATGACGTAGAGGTAAAATCTTGCTATAAAACCCATTCCAACTGAAGCAGAATTCCTACAACCATTCTTTGAAAAACTGCTACTGGATTGGGTATTGTACTTGAATTACAGGAGACAATTCAAAGGCATGATCTTGAAGGCAGATTTGACAAACGTTTCCTTATGAAGTGTATAAGACTGGCAAACGTCAAACAGTTCTACTAGTATGAAAACTTCCAGTTAAATCACTCAAAGGTTTGACATCCCTCCCTATTTTTCTTTCTCCTTCTCATCCTGCTAGAAACGGGGTCTGCAACTGTGAAAACCACTCATCTCTTAAAACCTTAAGCAGCCCACAGCCGATCTAAAGGTTCCAGAAGTTCTTGTTTTATTCAAGCAGTTTCACCCACTCCAAAAAATAAAATGTTTCATGAATTTCCATGAATATAAGCATGTGAGCAACGTCCACATGAAACACATTAACTCAGACACTGCATGTCGTGATTTGTCACAGTCCCCGAAAGTACCACTCACAAGGTAATTGCTTGCTAGGGACACAAATTTGCACTTTGGGAGCCTGGCTGTCACTGCCACATGTACTGAGCTGGATGGAAGGGCAAGCTCGAAGAACAGCAAGAAACATAAATTTGAAGTATCAAAAAAGTTTCTTTTCAGTGTATCAGTCTTTGGTATCACTTATTTAAAAAAAAAAAAAAAAAGTACATTTGGCACCACTACCAATTTGAGAAACTCTTGAAAATACTTTATGACCTGCAGGAACACTAAGGAATCAATACCCAGCATTTTCTCTTCACGGCACAGATAACCAGACTATTGTTCTTTCATTGTAAAGAACATCATTGTAAAATGATAAAAATATCATTAGAGTTCTCTACTGTGAAGTTTTTCCCCACCCCAGTGTCTCATCTGTAAACATCTGTATGCCATACAACGTCAAACAATCCAACAACAAAAACATAATAGCTAGTCTAATAGGAAATAAAATTTGAGAGACAGTATCATCTTATTACATTTAGTAATTAGTCTATCATCTTTCACCAAAAGACCTTCAGTGAATTTGACTCCAGGGTAACAGACCTGCAACAAAGCACGCTTCAAAAAGCCGCTTTACCCAAAGTATCTCCAATTGTTTTGTGTGTACACACATTTATTGTCCATCAGTCTCCCCAGTGAAAACTTATTTCTCAGACTTTATCCATAAAAAGGGGCAAGACTACAGTAAGTCACAGAAAGGGAAGCCAAAATTGTTTGCTCTTTTTCAGAATTAAAGACAGCTTGCCCATTTGAAAATGTGACACTGCACTGACAATAGTCCCAGATCAAAACCAACAAAATTTAAAAAAGAATAATACAAAAGGTATTCTCTGTGTTCTAACAACAGGTTACAACTCTAAGCTTGAAACATGCCACAGTTTAAAGAAGAGGGACAGAATACACATGTGCCTTGATCCAACAAATGAAACGACCAACAAAGATTTTTCTTTTTTTTTTTTTTGCAAGTAACTACCAAGATGCAGGAACTTATCTGCAGTACACGCACATTTTAACAAGCACACATGCACTTACTATTTCCACCTATGCCTTTCTTCCCACCCTGAAAAAAAACTACGTCAAGAACAAGGCACAAAACCCGCAGATCTTTGACCAAAAACTCTGTGTTGGTATAGATGGAGAAATCCGTACCATCAGAGAGAGCTGCATGCTGCTATGCTGGACAACCCTGGTGTTGGAAGAATTAATCATTCATAGATCAACAATTGGTTCTTTCATCTCCCTGGCTTTCTCAGACCAGACCATTATGTATTTTTTTCCACCTACTGATCATGTTATGCTCCAATTTTTCAGCCGCATGTAGCGAAGACAGTTGAAAAACATTCGTATTTCCAGAACGTATCTCGTTAAAAGAAATAATCTTAACCAGAGAGGGAACCCATCTGCTTCTATGGGCTTCGTAACTTTGCCAGCGTCAAAGAACCGACTTAACATAAAACTCTGCAATAAAATCGCCACCGAATAAGCTACCAAAAAGATGTGGCAGGCGAACTGAAGCGCACCGAAGTCACTCTTTCTGGCTTTCTACCAAAGGCAGTTCATGTAAGCTAATCCATGAGATAGCTGACCTTTTACCAAGTAAACTTTTAGGACTAAACACTTCGGCTAATCAAAACCTGAATTACACACATACGTTAAACCACATCTTTAAAATTAAGCTGTATCCTGGTCAGCCAAAACAGCAGCACGTAGTCGTCACCGCACCAAGAGGAATACGGCTTTTCGGAACACCACTGCAGAGAAAGAGAGGGAGAGGGAAAGGAGGCAGGTACTCGTGATTTCGCAGAGCGCTGCCTCATCGCGGCAGCCACGGGGGGAAGAAAAAGTCACGGGAGAGAGGGTCGTCAGGGGAAACACTTCTCCCGCTTCCACCGCTGCCTGGGTTCGTCCTTCAGAGCCCCGGCCCCGCAGAGGCCTGGCAGGTGCCACACCGGCAGGTGACGTTCGCTGGGTACAGCGGGGACCGCGCTGCCCAGCCCTGCCAGCAACAGGGACGGAGCGGAACGCTTCTTCCCCGGGCCGGAACCCAGCCCCGAG